GATGTTCTGTGTGCAAATTGAATAAATTATGTCAAAATTATTTGTTTGATTTAGAGATCGAAGTCAAAACTTAGAACCAAAGCAGAAACAGAGATGTTCCATAAAAATATTTTAATTGAAAAATAATACGAAAGTGTTTTAGCAAAACGAGTTTGAATAAAACCGAGAACCGAAAATGTTCGCAGCGCTTATCGTCATTACAATTTTATGATTTTTAAATGAAAGATGGTCAGATGTTTCAAGCAATTTGTGTCACGGGTTCTGATAGAAAATTCATTTTCGTTGTAACTTTTTAACCATTCAAAGATACTGTTCATGATGAAAAATATTCTAAATGACGAAGATTTATATATAAAATTCTGACCCATAACTTATAATGCAAGTACGATTGGGCATAATTTTTTTATAATTGATACGTACACGTTTTAAGTGTGGGAGAGCCATGCTTCGGCACGAATGGGCCGGCTCGACCGGAGTGATACCTCGGCCTCACAGAAAACCGACGTGAAACAACGCTTGCGATGCGTTTCGTCGTGTGAGTGAGGTTACTGGAGGTCCAATTACCCTCCCCATCCCCAATCTCCCCAATTCCTGAATCTCCAACGATCCTCAAACTCCTAATCCCCAAAAGGCCGGTAACGCACTTGTAACGCCTCTGGTGTTCCAGGTGTCCATGGTCGACGCCGATTGCTTACCATTAGGTGCTCGTTTACCGGCTTATGCCATAAAAAAACGCGTTTAGACGTTTACGTCTAGGTACATAGTAAAAGTATAATGTATCGAAAGTATTTGAAATGAATATTAAAGTAGTATTAATTGCTAATTGATGCCTATTAGGGAGTAATTATAGGAGATATTAACCAAACATCATTAGATTCCAGTTCAGTAGACAAAAACCTAAATAAACAGCCCCATTGAATTCAAATAGCTTATTAAAACGTGTTTTCATTTCTGGGAAATACTGACGGTTACATCAAAACCAGGTAATGTAAGGTGAATTGAGTATTTTGGGTGGGAATCGACTATAGACTCTATTGCATGCTTTTGGAAGCACAAAAATTACGTGCGTATTTGATACATCGAATATATTTTC